CCCCCCGCCCGGTGAAGTGTTTCCCTGCCCCAGACAGGTCCCGGAATGATTTCCATGGCCTGGGCAGAGCTGCCAGATGGGGGAGAGGTTTCTGCGGGTGACTGGTGTTTGCAAAATCTGAGAAGTGGAGAGCAAGCACGGGGTGAGCCTGCAGGGTTAGTGCTGCTCAGCTTGAAGCGTGTGGCAAGTGGTTTTGCACAGGTTTTAAGAGAAAACTGGGGTAATCCTGGAGTGGTGACAGGGATTTGTTGGTGGATGTAGCATATGAGATACCGTCGGTCACATTAATTCAACAGAAGATGAGGGGGGTGCCAGTCCCGTTCACCCCGTTCAAGGGGGACAGTAAAGCAGTGTCAAACTTAAGCACTTTGTTGGGACAGAAGCACTGGAACACAGATGACAGCTTTTGGGTTGTCATCAGCATCCTCATTGTCCCACTGGAACTTCGCAGAAGCTCCAAATCCAGGAGATTGTTGAAACTGTGAACTGCAGAGGTTGTACAGAGTTGGTTTTGATCCTGCTCATCTCTTGTTCAAACAGGTGAAATGACAAAATTGCACGTGTTTGGCAAATGGCATGACATTCCAAGGCAGCAGGTAACCTACGGGGACCCTGAGTTAACGTACACTTACTCAGGCGTCACCTTTTCTCCTAAGCCATGGATCCCAGTTCTCAACCGTATCAGAGACCGCGTCACTTCGGACACAGGACATGCTTTTAATTTTGTTCTTATTAACAGGTATGTCTGGTTTGCAGTTGCATCAAGCAGCTTGTTCAAATGAAAAATTGCTTGTGCAACACTGTTGACAAGTTGTTTTACATCCGTTGGATTGGATTGGTAGAAGAACGAATGAATCTATTCTGTGTGCAGATATAAAGATGGCGGGGACCACATAGGCGAACATCGAGACGATGAGAGAGAATTGGTTCCGCGCAGCCCTATCGCATCCGTGTCCTTCGGAGCCTGCAGGGACTTTGTTTTCAGGCACTGTGATTCCAGAGGGAAGAACGCAACGCGCCACATCGAGCCCATCAAACTCCAGCTAGCCCATGGTAGCCTGCTGCTGATGAAGTACCCCACCAATGTGTACTGGTACCACAGCCTGCCCACCCGCAAGAGAGTACTTGCCCCAAGAATCAACCTCACATTTCGGAAAGTGATGACTGTAGCCAAGAAGTGAAATATTCATCAATCAAGCACCTGGTCTTTTGACTCCGAAAACAGAAGCTTTCTTCGCCGACAGTTTCTCATTCAAACACTGTCTTTGATGACCTGAGGTACCAGAGGAGCAAATTAAACCGGGAGAGGAGATAGCCTACTTGGTAACTTGCTAATAAAGACTGTAACTACTGATCTTAAACACCAAGAATACTTTCTCTCCTTGAAATGTTGCTGTAGTCCTGCTGATACATATTTTTAATGAATAATGCCCTTGTTTTGCTCAGGAGGAAGTTTGTTTTCAACTGATCTTAACCTAGCCAGTTTTCTAAAAAGATCAAAATACTCCATATCCTCGAGATCGTGGTAAAACAGTTTATAAATGCTGTAAAGTACAAGATGTAATCATTTAAAGCTGATACTGTTCAACAAGTGACACTTTCTTGTACGCTCTGTCAATGAGCTGTAGTTTGTTTGGTTTTTAAAAATAAAATACAAATGGGAGTGATGTGAAAAAGAGGAGTGCTAAGATATGAATATAGTGAGTGCAGCATGGCTGGCCGCACCTCTTACAGTCACTGTGACTTTTGTCTGTACATATTCCTCTGCTGCTTTACCTCCTCTGCTTATATGGGACATGGGGACCTTTTGGTCAGTAGTGTGGTGGGGCAGGAGGAGGTATGAGGTGGGGCCTCTTCTTCCTTCGGTCCTTTGTCTGCACAGAAACCAGCATAAGATGATCTGGGGAGAGACTGGGTTGGACCATTTATATGGACAACGCAGCATGAAACCCTGGGACTTCTGAGAGTGTCTGTTTTTCTAAATAATTATCCCTAGGGATTCCGTTCTGACTACCTGA